GGGGGGGGGGGGGGTGAGGGGGGTTCGCATGCCGTAGTCGTTAGGCCATTGACCTCGCATCCTTTCAATGCCGGGATGGAGCGATATGCAGGGTTTTCGCCGGCCTACGTTTCACAAGGATAAACCAGAAGCTGGTCATCATCCGGAGAGGGAGGCATGAAACAGAGAGTGAGGCAAGGCGAAGGGGTTCTGCGCTGCTGCTGCTATAGTGCGAGAAAAAGATAGGTGCAGAAAATGTAGCGGGGGGGGGGTTACACATAGTAGTGGATGCTGTATTTAGTCGTTCGACCATGGACCTCGCATCCCTACAATGCCGGGACGAAGCGATATGCCGGTTTTCGCCGGCCCAGGCTAATACTCTTCATCTACGTTTCAGAATATCCTACTACGGCAGCGTGTACCTACATAGCTAACCGCGTGAGTGCTTCTCGGACACAACAGCTACCGCCGGGGATAAGCGTACCTCATAGCAATACGAATCACGGCACTATACGGCGGTGGCCTGTGATAGCATCAACAGTCACGGCACACGGACAGCGCGCCAAACGTCCACGTCGGGAGTTAACTCCTGAGCCCATTCTTGCCACAGACGTAATGGAACCAAGAACCAGGGCCCTGAACACAAAAGGCGACTCCTCACGTAGCATCTCTTGCAGAAAAAAGCCTCGTAGAGTCGATTGGAAAACCCCAAATACTTAAATGGAGTCACTCTCTTGCACCACTATCGGTACCAACAATACAAGACCCCAAAACAACATTTCGCCTGACGTTCATGCCTCCTGTGGCGAGAGATGGTTGATTCTTGGTCCGCATTAGTAGAAACGAAAAGATCAAAACACCTCTTACCATTCGAGGCCGGCGCCCGGTTCACCACCACCGCCGCTGCCGAAGAAGTCCGCCTAGACAGCCCGGCAACGACCGCTGTCCGAAAGGCTGGGGGCGGGCGGGGGGGGAAGGGGGGGGGGGCGTACTCATGGTTTCGAATGCGTTTGCGGATAGACTATTGACCGCACGAGGACGGAGCATTCTTCCCACAGGACCGATTGGAGGGGAGGGGGGGGGGGGTGGTGCGAACCAACATAGTCAACAGGGGGGCGGCATCACAACGAGGCGGTGAGGGACTGGTCTTGTACGTACGTAAGGGGGTTGATCGTCGATTTTCGTCGATGGCAACCAAATCACTTAGGAGTCAGTGATTTTGGAGTGTTCCTGAAGAACACTGAAAGGAGTATCGTGCGAGGTCCTGTCGCCTTGGGTGCTGATGGCTATTTAAAAGCATTCATGAAACAACAGGAGTCTGTGTAAACCCGGCTGTTACGACAACATACCCCGAAACGTGTGATACACCTTCAGAATTACCTTCAGAATCGAGTCTCGGTGGGATAGCAACAGACACGGAGAGACGGCGCCTGCAATGCTTGGGCACATGGGCACATATTGTACGTCTCTCATCCGCGCTAACATGTCCACGGGGTTGGGTGTGTGTGTGCAAATATCTGGTCCTCGAGTCGAAAAAAGCTAACGGATTGTATACTCCTCCGAGTACAAGGGTACATGCCAAGGGTTGTAGAGGTGGGAAACGTACCATGGTTAGTGTCCAAGTACGTTGACGAACAGCAGTCAATATATAGGTGTCAAGTTTTACGATACCAAAAGCATTGTAGCATAGCACAACCAGGAGGGTACCAGACTTCCTTCGGTAAATCTTTCCACATGGCGCCTATGGAGCAGACATACTCGCGGTGCGCTCCGCAGTACTGCTGTAACGACATTCGGCCAAGGATGTGCTGGGTTTGTCTACCGAATGTATCTCGGTGGCGGATACACGCGCAGGCGTGCTGTGACATTGCTGCGGTCGAAGGCTACAGGCACCGCCAGTAGTACAGCAGACCTAATGTAGACTATTATCAAGAGGTTGGACGAGACGGGCACACTGCATGATAGCAAAGGAAGGTGAGAGTATACTGCTGTAGTGGTTGAACGCGTCGTCGAGCAGGCATCCGTAAGGTATGTTTGTGTCGTGCTGGTGTTGGTGCTGCCGCTGTACTGCTGTGTTTTGCAGTGCAGTTCAACATGTTTCTTCTCACGCTACGTGGTTGACTGCAGTGTGCGTGGTACCCACTATCCGCTACACATGTCACTACTAGCGACCGGAGCACAATAGAGAGGGAGGAAGGGGCGGGGGCGGGGGGAGGAGGCTACGGCGAGGCTGGGAACGATCTGCTGACGGCTGCGTGTTACGCATGGGACCCGCAGGCGGGTCAAAGGTTTGGTGTGGTGTACCTCGCTGGTCGCACTCACTTGCACCGTGGGTTGAGAACACGTGTGCGTGCCAGAGGCTACCCTTTAATCTAAATTGCAGAATGTCAACTTCGTGTTGCACTGCTGTGCTTTCGTGGTGATGCGAGAGGGACCGCATCCTCCCGGCGGGTGGGTGTGTTGGCACGTTGACACGTTGACACGTTGACACAGCAGCAGCAGCAGCAGCAGCAGCAGCAGCAGCAGCAGCAGCGAGCTCTCACCGGCCGTAGTGTCATGTGTTTGCTGTCTGACGGCCAATCTCACTTCATGTCTACCTAACAGAGTCATCTCGCGCCGCTGTGTGCAACTTTTGAGAGGTTGATCTGCTCCTTCTACCGAACTCTCACCTCGCGCTGAGCCCTGTGACAAAGCCATCACCGCTGTAACCGATTTCGCCCCTCTCATCCCTCGTGCAGTTGTCTGGAATGTCGTGCCTCGCGAAGTCCTGCAGTCCGGTCTACTGTTTTTTTTTTTCCCGGCGGACTGTCGACTATTTTTTTTTTCTCACTCGAAGCAGGCGATTGGTGAGCGGGTGCCGGGGTTTTGGGTTCAAAAATAAACGAAGGATTCGGTATAACCGTGAATCCGTGGTTTGTGGAAGCGTTCCGGAAATTTCGTGAAAGAGCGGCGAAAGGCAAAAAAGGGTACACGGGGGTATAGCTATATACAGGGTGCAAAGAAGAGAGAGAGAGTGGCAGAAGCTTTTGGGATCCTTGGGAAGCCGAGGATCTCGAAGGGAAAAGCGTTGCATCGCCCGCGAAGGCAGTGCAGCAAAGCAGCAGCGAGAGAATAGAGTTTTCGTTTGGGACTTGATCGAATTTGATCGAGTTTGTCCTAGACACGCCGGAGCGATGAACAACGGCAACAACCTGCAGCAGCAGGGTCAGGGTCCCCCCCAGCAGCCGCAGCCAGCGCAGCCAGCGCAACCTCCACCGCCTCCACCGCCGCCTCCAGGTGGACCACCGCCCGCAGCTAACCAACAACAGAGCAGCGGCGGCGGAGGAGGAGCAGTAGCGGCAGCTCATCCCCATGGTGGCGGACAGGCAGTAGCAGCGGGAAACCAGCCAGCAGGGGCGGCGGGAAACCAACAGGCGGCGGGACACAACAACGCGCCTCCGGCAGCAGGAGGAGGAGACCAGAACGCGGGCGGAGCCGCGCCAGCCGGGCTGGGAGGCCCACCTCCCCCCATCAACCCTGTCCAGCTACTGCTGCAGATGTCTGTACTGCTATAAGAGCAAAACGGCCCACTCGGCAATCTGGAGCTCAGGATGCAGCAGCAGCAGCAGCACCCACAGGACCAGCACCAGCAACAGCAACAGCAACAGCAGCCTGGCCACCTCCCCCCTGGCGGCCTCCAGCAGCAAGGTCAGCCCCAGCCCATCAATCTCCCTCTAGGTGGCCAGATCGTGCTACAGCCCCAGCAAGCGCAAGCTCTGGGCCAAAACATGAACGTGTCGAACCAGGCCCTCAACACCCATGTACAGAAAGAAAGGTTTCGCCGCGATACGAAGGCATGGGGAGACGAGTCCGCGGCGACGCTGCTTCTGCTGCGCGGCGGGTGGTTCGTTAGCACCACGCTGTCGAAGAACGCAATCGCCCAGCTGCTGCACAAAGTGGCCTATCCCGACGCCGAAATGATCGATTCGCTGATGAACCTCGCCAACGTCGACATCGCCAAGTTCTCCCCACCCCTCGCTACGGGGCGGACCCCGCAGCCACGCGACTTCATGGTTTACCTCGAGACGTTCGTGAAAGCATTCTTCGCCGTGTTGGACCATGGCACACACGCTGCAGGCGAACCATCGACCGGTCGCAGGCAATAGTTGAAAGCCTAAGTCAGCCGCGTTGTGTCCAACGCCCGGGACTACCTCAGCCTTCATTCAGCGGAGATCACGGGTCAAGAAGCAGCGGTGAAGACGCGCCTGATCACCGACACCAACACCGACATCAACGAGTATCTCGGGAACATCTCAGACCTTGGCGTCGCGACCCGCGCCGACCACGACATCTCCCCGCCGGCAGACGACGACGTGCAACCCGTCCCCCCCCCCCCTTTTGGCGGCTGCGCGGTCTCACCGCGGAAGGCAGCGCCAACGCCATCGTCGGAAAGCTTAACAACGGCCTGGCCGGGCTCCCGCAGCCACAGAAGAGGAAAGCGTCAGCGAGCAGCGCCACGAGCGGACATACAGCATCCCGCCCGCGGATAACAGCCGCACCCGTCGCCAACCAACACGCGGTGGCGACACTCTCCTCGTCCCAGCAGGACCTCCTCACGTGGGGAACCCCCCACCGCGCGTGTCACTCCCACTGGAAAGGTCCCTGACAATACGGGCCCCATCCAGAGGTGGGGCCAACGCGGGCGAGGAGGGCAGATGACACCACGGTAGCAGCTTTTGTAGACAGGAGCAGGACCGTGGCGCTAACTGAAGCGCCTCTTCCCGGGTTGGTGGCACCGAACGTGTTCTACGGTGAATGAAGAAGTACCCGCCCGAGTAAATCAAGTTCCAATAGTGAGGAACATGAAATTGCTGCAGAGCCAGAGTTGATAGTCCAATCTCACCAAGGAGTAAAATTACCGTGTACTTTTAGAAGTACCAGCCAAAGTAATTCACGCACCAATAGTGATGAACATGAAATTACTGCAGAACCAGCGCTATTGGATCCCTCTAACCAAGGAGGACAACCGTGTGCTAGACTTGAACAAGAGAGCGAACAAGACCCTCGTAACACGGGAGAAGAGAATGGACCCGGCGTGAACGCTGGAGAAGACCCCCGTGAAAAGGGAGAAAAAGACCCCTCGCACCAGGGAGAAGATCGCAAGAGTGCTAGACCCAATACGTGTA